AAAAATAAAAACTTCATCTTCTTTCTTATTATTTTCTCTCTCTTATCGATTTTTCTTTCTCTCCAAAACAAACACAAATTTGCCCAATGATGGAAACTCATTAAGTGGAGATTGCTTTGGTTTTTTTCGTGAGCCTTCATGCTTTCTTCCACTCATCAGTTTTAGCTGCTACTGTTGTTGCTTCTTCATCAAAACAAACACTTCAAACCCAGATCTGGGTTTGTCTCAAGCCCCAAGGGCTTGAGACAAACTCTACATTTCTCTATCCACCTCTGCTTCTTTCCTCATTCGCCATTTCTCCTTTGAATCAACGGATGCTATTGTGAAGAAGGGCTTGAAGCCTGGCGTCATGGCCCTCGCATGGCTCTGCAGCAGCTGCGGCTGGTATGCATCGTTGCAGGCTCACTGTAGGCTCGGTTGCGTCGGGATCTGACGTTGTCAGCTCCGGCTCTGGCAGTAACATGCGTTGGGATCTAGCTCACTATAGGCTCGAACAACGGTTAACAAGGCCCTTGGCTTAAAGATCTTGCCCAGAGATTCTACACAAAGTTCTGCTCCTTGGCTACACAGTCAAGCCAAGCACTCCCTTCCCTCAACACCTCGCGTCACCTCATCCATTTCTCGTCTCCTGGGATCCACTTCAGTTCGAGCAAATGGAGCTTTAGGTCACTTCTTATCAACGCTGCTTCTCCTCGCAATCGCTACTCTTCACTTGCTCTTAGACCCTTCAACAAGTTTCCATTGTCTCCTTTTGTAAGTGTTTTTTTTCTTTTTTTTGTTTCCTTTTCTTTTTAATGGGTATTCAAGGACTAATTTACTATCATTCCTTGAATTGCTACTGTGATTTTTGGGGAAATATGAGAATATAAACATGTTGTACCTATGATTTTGATGATTACAAAACACATTTGAGTGACTAATTGGTTTATTTAAGTGTGTAGTTAAGTTACTAAAAGATTGCAAGTAAACTTGGATTGCACTAAAAATAGACCAAAAGGATTCAAAGTGTGCAGAGAGCCGGCTCTTGAAAGCTGCAGCCGGCTCTGGAGAAGCGGAAGTGCGGAGAGCCAGCTCTGGAAGCTGCAGCCGGCTCTACAGGCAAAAATTTGAAGACCGTTGCTTGGCGCGCGAGGAGAAAAGACGCAAAGCCGGCTTCAACTTTATAGCCGGCTGTGAGGGTGCATTCAATGCACAACGGTCAAGTCATTTGAAGATTATTTAATGTATTTAAAGTCGGAGTTGTAAAGCCGGCTCAAAGTTTTGCAGCCAACTCTCGAGGAAAACAGAATGGACTGCAAACCTGGATAGCCGGCTCTGGAAGTGTAAGCCGGCTCTAGAATGTTAAGCCGGCTCTCCTGACAATCTTGCAACTCGACTTTTGCGTCTTGCAGAGCATTTAATGACCCCCAACGGCTAGTAACGGCTATTTTCGAGCAAGGGGCTATAAATATGATTGGTAACAGATGTGAAGAAGTTTAGAGAACATTGCATTGAATATCTTTACCTACCTACTTGAGCTTAAACTTGAGTTTTTGATCTTTGAGTGATCATTGCTTGTAATCCTTTTCTTGTGCTTTTAGTGAGTGATGTTGGGGGTGTGTTGATTCCTTCAAGAGTGATCTATTGAGAGGATTTGTGGGGTTTACATTGTAAAGGGGTGAGATTTGAGAGAAACACCCTTATTCTTGTAAAAGGATTGAGTGGCTCCTTTAAGCCACCCTTGTTATTGTTAGTGGAGAGTGTGGAGGAAATCCTTGGTGAGTGAAGCCAAGGTAGAGGACTAGGTTCCAAGTGGTTGGACCGAACCTCTATAAAATCATTGTGGAATTTCTTGTTCTCAACTCTCTCTTTAATTTTTGTTTGGTGGTTGCAAAGAGGCGAAAGTTCTCCAACTCCAATTCACCCCCCCTCTTGGAGTGCATTGAGTCAACAAAACAATATTTTGGCTTATTTCAGTTGAAAGATGAATTGGGTTTCTCTAATCTTTCTTTATTGACTCAAATCTTTTTCTGCAATACCTCATTTACTATTGTTCTTTTGGTTGGTGAATGTTGTTCAGTTGATGTGGCAGTGAAGGCGTTGAGATGCAGGTGCAAAATGATGAAGGACAAATTTGCGACGTTCAAAGGGAGATTGGACGATTGGGAATGGGTGTCAAATGTGAGAAAATCTAGATTTGGATTTGATTTGGAAACGAAGAAGAAGGGAGAAGAGAGAGAAAAAGAATAAGAAGAACAAGGAAGAAAGATGAGTAAGGAAAGGAAGGAGGAAGGTTGATAAAGATTGAGGAGGCAAAATTGTCGAAGGAGGAAAAGAGGAAGAAGATGATTTTTTTTTTTTTTTTTTGTAAAGAAAAATCACACAGTAAGCGAAAATGGAAGTTTAAGGATAGAGAGAGAACCCAGACTGGGTTTGCAGAGGTAAGCCAGAAGGAAAGGTAAAGCAGAGAGAAAATGAAAGAGGAAGAAGAAGTTTAATGTTGGCAAAAAAAAAAAAAGAAATTATTATTTTTAAATTAAATGAAAATGTCTACTCATAAAAAAGATGACCAACTATACTTTTTTTTTTCCATGTCATTAGTTAAGCAAAAATAGAATTGATTGGTGGCAAATTAACGTGCCACCTGTCATTTAACTGACGGAATAACCGTTTTGGTACCGAAAATGGAAGTTTAAGGATAAATTTAATACTTTTTAAAGTTAAAGGATAATTTTGGTGCTAAAGTAAAAAGCTAAGGGACCAAAATGGTGCTTAAACCTTTTTCATTTGAGCCAGGAGGCCTGCATGCTTCCTTCCGCAGTTTAAGCCCAATTTCAGTACATCTCTCAATGCTGTTTTGTAACCTGTCCCCTGCAGGGCAACCATTAATAAAAAGTTGAGCTTTTAATATTAGGAGGCTTCGTAATCTCTATCAATCACATTTTTGACTTTGCCATTAAAAACAGAGTTAGTGCATAGATTAATAGTATAATAAATATATATTTTTTATAATTAATTTATATTAAAAATTATAAAAATTGATA